GCTGTGCTTTTTCACAGCGGTGTTATGGGACAGATTTATCCCAGACTGGTGAGATTTCCTCCAGCAAATGAAGGCAGGGCAGACAGCAATGGCCTTCAGTCCCAAAACCCAAGCAATTTACACCGGTGCAGTGTAGCATTTTGTTGACTGGGGGGGTGAGTTGGGTCTGCTGAGGCTGCCCTGCCACAGGTCTCTCGATGCTCCTGCTCACCTCGTCCCTCTTACGCGCTAGGCCAGCCAGAGGAAGCATTACTGCCTGCTGGTCCCACCATAAGTGCCGCAGGATGGACTCCTCTGAGCATGACAGGCCCATGCTTCCTCCCTACCTCACCTTCCTCCGCCGAGTCTGTAAACTGTTTTATGCAGGGAAAAATACAAATTCTTCCATTAGCTCAAAGCTTTGCCTACACACAGAGGAGAGCAAACAACACAATCTGCTGTTCTGGTGAGAGAGTATGCCTGTGTTTACTCTTTCCTGATCCCGCTACCAATGTGTTCAGGATTTTCTGAAAGCCTTTACTAGAAAATTGCAACCACAGAAACGCCCGGGTGTTCAGGTTTTGCCTGTTTTCCCTAGAAAATTCCAGCATTATGAGACAAAAGGAAAATGGGTGTCTCCAACCTCCAATTTTATTGGATTGATTCTTCTTGGGCTAGGGGCAGGGCAGCATCTACCAGCAGTGTAACCCTCAGAGCAGTTATTTATCCGATAGCTATTGCTGAGGGGAGATACCTACTCTAAATGCATCCATCAGAGCTTCACACAGCATTCTGTGAAAACATGGTATCTAGGAACTAACAGTATCTGATTTGATTGAAGACTTTATGCAGATACCCACTCCTTTTTCCGGGCAACCCTGTCAATACCAGCTCTCTTTCTATAGAGTCTCTTCTTCGATGGTAAACAGAAATCAGCTTCAAGCAGTTTTTCTTGATATTGATATGTGCTCGACTATTGTCTTTTTTTCCTGTTCTCTGTCTGAATATTAATACTGTTTAGGCAAAGAACAGAAGGCTGAGAGGGAACACAATAGCAAGGGTAGGAGGTTTTCCTGAGGGCAACGAGCCGTTCTCTCTGCCCACCGAGGACAGAGGAAGCACGCTTCAATACAGCAAGGGAGATTCAGTTAAGTGAGTAACCAAAGTTTTCCAACTATAAAAGTCTTTAAGCAATCTGTTCCGACGGCTAAGCTGCATTGGAGAATACACATCACTGAAAGCTGGGAAGGATAGGTCCCACAAACACCTACTGGGAACAGCACAGGCATTTCTGTATCCCGTCATTTTCTGCAGGAACCTGCCCTGATGTTACAAGGACCTTTCGCCGGTGCGAGTTGCTACCCCACCACCTTAACCACAGCAGCATTGAAGCACTAACCGAGCATTTCTTCCTGCTGCCCCAGCTCCCCTTTCCTAAAATACAGCTGCTAAATATTAACATGAAAAATAAATATTTGGCAGATGGAATTGAACAGTCATTTCAGAATGCTGCACATTGCTACAGGAAGCTACTCTTAAAATTCTTTAACGCCCCTTCTAGTGATGCTGTTATTTTGGTAAAATTTGTGAGCGGAGATACGGAGCATGACCCAACATTTTTTTAGAAATATGTCTTCACAACAGCGATAAAGCTTTTATTCTGTCTACCAGTTGTAAATAGTCAAACTTCTAGCAATCTACTCAAACATTTAGTGCTAGATTTACTGTGCAGTTAAAGTATACGTGCCCGGGCAATGCTTTCCAGCAAAATAAATAAACTTTTTAAAAAATCTGTATTTTGTTTCCCTATTTCTTCTTTTATTTTGCATATTTTTAAAATTTGTTTTGCAGTTGTTCTCTTTCATCCTTTCCAGAATTTGGTGTCCATGGATTTTTTAATTTGCATCACTTCTGTTATTCTTTCAGTATTTTTCCTTTATGAATAATTATTTTCCCCCTTCTATTCTTTCCTATTCTACACTATTGAAGTCTTCTCTACATGCAAAAAAAGAGAAAAAAACCCTATTCATTTTATTTATTGCTGGAGGATTCCTAGGAAATAAGGCACAAACCTGTACTTCAGGTGAGATAGCTACCAGCGAGAGCAAGTCACCCTTTCAGACATGTAATAGCCTTAAAGCAGCGAACACCTTTTGAAGACAACCTCGTGTTGGCAATTCTGGTAGGTATGTGTTAGGAATAATTTCTCAACAGTATGAAATGGAGTAAAAAAAAATGTTAATCCTCTCACTGCCGAGGATTTGAAAAGCATGACTGATTGCAGAACGAATACCCCACCCCCTCCTAATTAATGAGACTAGTGACACGTTAATTAAGAACATGCATAAGCCTTTGCAAGATGTACGTCATGTGCTTGTCAGTGGGTAAGACACAAGTCTGGGGAGACTGCCACTTCATTACGGACAGAATTCATTTACTGCAACTTAAACACTAGTTAGAATCTATTAAATGTACTTAACTGTCCTGTTGAAAATTTGAAATAAGAGCAATGTGGCTAATGAGAATAAAAATGATGAATTCCTATTACTCATTTACTTCATAGGGATTAAGGCAGGAGTTCTAGGGAAATAGTACTTTAAGTGCAAGACAGTGTTCAGAGAAATTTCTGATCCTACATACCACCCTCCCGTTCGTGCCGTAAGACACACGTGCAAACGCTGCCTTGCTGTGTAACTGCAGGTGGTGGGTTGCCCTTGGCTGCCAGGCAGGCGCCCACCCAGCCCCTCTGTCCCTCTCCCTCAGCAGGACCGGGTGAGAAAAGACAGTGCAAAGCTCACGGGTCGAGACAAGGACAGGGAGATCACTCAGCAACTGCAGTCAGGGGCAAAACAGACTCAACCTGGGGAAGATTAATTTAATTTATTGCCAGTACCAGAGTAAGTCAGAAATCAAAACAAAACTAAACCCACCTCTCCCCTCCTCCTTTCCCCGCCTTCTTCCCAGGCCCAGCTTCACTCCTGACTCTTCTGCCTCCTCTCCCCACCTTGAGCAGCACAGGGGGATGGGAAATGGGGGCTGTGGTCAGTTCGTAACACTTCATCTCTCCTGCTCCTTCCTCTTTCATGAGCTTCTCCCACTTGGGTCCCCCATGGGCCACAGTTCCTGCCAGGAAACCTGCTCCAGTATGGGCTCTCTGCAGGCTGCCGGGGAATCTCTGCTCCGGCACCTGGAGCACCTCCTGCCCTCCTGCTGCACTGGCCTGGGGGGCTGCACACTTGTTTATTTTCCCCTCACTCCTTTCACAGCTGCTGTGCAGCGTTTTTTACCTTTTCTCAAATATGATACTTACAGAAGTGCTGCCAATGTCGCCGATCAGCTCAGCTTTGGCCAGTGGCAGGTCTGCTTGGGGCCGGCAGGAACTGTCGGACATGGGGGCAGGTCTGGTGTCTTCTCAGGGAAAGCACCCACACAGCCCCCCTGGCTGCCAAAACCTGGCCACATAAACCAACACGCTTCAAAAGCGGAAGTCACTACAGCGCTGAGAAGCACGTTCTCCTTCTCTGCCCATGTTCATCTACCACAAACGTGTTTTACTTATTCAAGTACGTACTGCTTCTGTAATAATTATTGCAATGAAATTCTAATAAACCCTGTCTATTGCGATAGGACGAAGGGAAATGGTCTGAAGTTGTGCCAGGGCAGGTTTAGGTTGGACATTAGGAAAAATTTTTTCACCGAAAGGGTTGTCAAGCATTGGAATGGGCTGCCCAGGGAAGTGGTCGAGTCCCCATCCCTGGAGGTATTTAAAAGACGGGCAGATGAGGTGCTCAGGGCCATGGTTTAGTGGTGGGATGGCAGGGTTAGGTTAACAGCTGGACTTGATGATCTTAAAGGTCTTTTCCAACCTAAACGATTCTATGATTCTGTGTAATATTTATAGTGTAATACATACTTCATGCTTCTTAGAATGGTAGTTTTCTTTCACTTTTTGTAGTTTAGATTTTTCCATAATAAATAACTCTAAATACTTGCATTATAACTAAATTTCTTCTCCCCCCTTCAATCTTTAGTTTACCCTGGTAGAGTTGCTTAGTTTTAGTATAAGTCCAGCTTCACTGGTCCCTTTCCCTTGCTCAGTGTTTGTCCATACTCGCACTTGCTCCAAAGCTGTGGTGAACCCAAATGGAAGATTATGAATGACTTCTCCCCCTGGTTCAATCTGCCCCCACTGGTTACACCGAGCACACTACTGCCAGATTTCTGCTGAACAAAGGTAGGTGTTTTTTTCAAATCAAGTTGTGAAAAGAAGAAAATCACTGTATTGGTGTATGACGTAATTTTATTTTGTCAATGAAATGCCCTATCGTCATAAAAGAGAACACATTTTCTAATCTTGAAGCCAGCAAGATTGGGAAAAAAAGGAAAATCGAACTTGGTTTTCCTATACATAATTTCCATACTGAGACTACATTCAGAGGAAAAAAACCCCTAGAATTAAAATGTAAGCAGACATTACTTACGCAGCTCTCTTCTTAAAAAATAAACTGGACACGTCACACAACTCACACATGGTGCTTCGCTAGCATAATATGCTACAAATAGAATTATTCAAATGCAACTATGCAGCTTTTCTATTACCTAAGACCTTTGCATTTTTTTTATGTTGCAACACCTTTATTATTTACTTCACACTTCATTACCATGCTACAGAACAATCTTTTCTCCTTCTTTTCCAGTGGCTTGTTTCTCAGAAACAGGGCCTTCGCTGTGGCTTTCTTTGGAAACACCAAGCACTCAGTTTCAGATATTAAAAATATTCAAAGCATTTGAATATACATTCACAACAAGATTAAGCCTCCATTTTTCAAGTAAGGGTTCTCATGACTTGCTAGTAAACTAACAGAAAGAGCTGGTTATTATTTACCCCGTTCTCATTTGTGAAAATGTGCTCTGGATAGCTGTAATGCCTCAGAAATGCTCTCATCTGTGGGTGAGCTGAGTGTGCACCATCATGTCCCGCACAAGAATTACAGTAACTTGAGGCCTGGGTTCTCTCACAATATTCATGGATAGACCAAAATAACTGTAGAACTTTTTGAACAAACAACACTTTAAAAAAGTATTTGCATTTGTAGAACTACATAATCTCATTTTCAATGAGGTTAGGCTCTTAGGTCAAAAGTCCTATTTCACTTACTAAACATGGCTTTAAAAACACAGTATACATAACACTTATGTTACAAAGGTCTGAAAAACATTGGATCAATCAACGTTTCAACTCATTGCATTAATAAGGAAAGTAAACAGCAGCACTTTTGGAAAAGTATTCAAGTATTTCCCTGAAATACTACATAACAAAAAACAGATCCTAAACTTTGTATGACTGTACTTTAAGCAAGTATCATTTGCAAGTGCTTTTTTGTCACATAGAGCTGTATGAATAATAGTTTGCAGCACAGATATAGCACGCCATTTTGATATTACACAAAACTGGAATGTAAATAATTGCAATAGAAAAAAAAAGTATCTGCCATTTATAACAATTTTCAAGCATTTCAGTAATAAACTGACTGATCACCATGGCTTACACAGAGCAAGTACATGAGAGACTTAAAACTAATACAAGCTGAATGACAGAAGTGTCAGTAAATACGCGTGAGTAGAGGATCATTAGCTGTTCAGACACAAAAAAACCCTCAGAAGCAATGAGTTTTAAGGAGAACTACACACTTAAGAAAAGACAGAAGAGAGCAGGGGCTAACTTCTGATCCTCAAACAGGAATAAATGCGTACGAGAAAACCAAAATTTAGCCCCAAGCCTAGACACAGAACGTGTGTGTCACAATGCACAAATCCATACACAACTTAAATAATCACTCCATAGCTATACATGATAGTCTAATGGTTTTTGCTATAAAAACAAATCAGCACAGTGAATTCTTGATTTATCAGATGCCAGTTTCTTCCCTTGACTTCACAAAACAAATTTTGTTTCATATTTAGTTAAATAAACATTACTTTAAAAACCTTTAATCATCAAATCATATTTTTAAACTTAATATTCCAACATCTTATTTTGCAAAGACATTTTAACGTATGTAGCAGAATTTCCAAAGAATTGTGTACTGAAGAGGGAAGCTTTTCATATGCTAATTTTAGATATTTAAAAAAAAATTTTAAAACTTGCTGGTGTTTCAGAAGATATTTATATTTTCCTTTGCCTGTGCCTTCCTGGTATTATAAGTATCCCTGCGAGTTCCTTGCAAGACATTTCAGTTGCTGTGTGTGGTATTTGGTATCATCCAAACAGTCACAAACCCCTTCATAATCCCAAAAAGCATCATGCAAGGAAGCCTTTATAAATAGAATATATAGGATAAGGTATGATCTCTATACAGATGTGCTTATATTTTTCAAGGTATTTCTGTACTCTTATTGTTATTACTTAAAGCCAGGAATGTGTGTTTGAATTGCATTGATAAGTTGCAAGGTATAGTCAGAATAACAAAATTGAAGATTTTACTAAAAAAAAAAAATATGAGAATGGCAACAGTGTTGTCCACCATTTAAGCCACATGCAACTACATAACACTCCCAGAAGAAAACATCTTCTCAGACACTGAAAACATCTTGTCTTGATATCTTGGGTTTGATGACAATGGCAAGTCCAATGGTTTATAACATTTAGATATTATTGCAACACAACTGCTAAATTAGCTCTCTAGAGAAGCACAGAGAATTTATCATTGTGAATACATATACATACGCCTCTCTTTTCTAACATAACTTAAATTACATTGCTCCAAGATATAGTTTAATAACTACGTTTTTAAAAAATGATGCAATGCAATAAGATGTCTAAAATTATACTGAAGCCATCAAAAAAAAAATCTAAAATTTTAAAATACTTGTCAATTTGACTAAAATGCATATTTACTCAATTTCCTTGAGCTTCTATTTTTTCTTCTCCCCATTGGAGGAACAATGTCTATAGCAACTGTTCAACACTACTATGGCTGTAGGCAGCTTCATCTTTACAGTTTTCCTCGATTCCCCTTGCAAATAGTTTCATTAACTGGCAGTGAACCCTGAAAAATATGGAAACCAATTAGTAGGAAATAAATGAGGACTACATATTGAATTCTAATAATCTGTGAATTTCAAGCAGTTGAACAAAAGTTCCTTGCTCCAGAGTACAGAAACCGTGTTCTCATTCTTGATAGAATCCTCCCCTACAAAGAACGCTGGATGCTTTCATGTATCCATCACTCCTGTTACTCCTTTTTTCCACACAAAAAGTTCTATGGGGCACTTAGATGAGCTGATCTCATACAATATCTATAAAAATCACTTTGGACTGCTAAGTGATTATGTTTTAATGGAACACACTTGCATGTAAATATTCTCTATTGTGTTTTTGGTTCCCTTTGTTCTAAAAACAACAAACAAAAACAAGCAACCAAAAAAAATCCCAAACAAAAGAGAAAAAAAGCCCTTCAAGCTTCACAAACCTCTATTCCCTTCTAATCTGATTATTTGCAAAACTGCAAACTTTCATTTCTCCAAGGCTGGAGGTAAGACTCTGTGCTGTGTGTCAAAAAACACGAAGTATGGGACATACCAGCATTTCTGTAAGACAAAGATGCTTACTTCAGCTTAAATTTAACAGGAAAAGCTATTTCTCAGAGTAATGAGGTACTCCACTCATTTAAAAAAGAATCCTCCCAACACCACCTTCACTTTCAGCACTTGAAGTATGTAATATCAGTACCTAAGAAGTAAATGGGACTTCAAAGGTAGGGTCATCCATCTATCTCAGAGTGATCATTTACAATATACATGGTTGGAGTATTCTCTGTGTGGGACTCAAAAAAGTAACAAAACCAAAGTTTATTATCAGAAGACTCAAATTTGCTATGTGGAGGAACCTTTTTGGGATGTTTTTATGACCATCTTTAAAAATCAGTGAAAAGGCTTAATGTGTATTTCTGGTACATGGAAGGAAAAATTGATGCTTACCTCACTTCAATTGCTGAACTGTCCAGAGTTTCTCCATCGCAATTCCAGGTGCTACTAGCAATATTGCAGCAACAGGCTGGATGATCTCTGCAGAACTGGCCAAAACGTTTCTTTCCTATGTCCGTGACATTGCTTTCATTGTCCTCTGAAAGCTTTGATGTAAATTGAAAACTCTTCACCCGATAAACATGTACAAATGAGAAGTCAAACTACAAAGAAAAAAATAAATCAAAACAGGCAATTAAAATTTAACACATTTGACGTATAAAGCAACTCAGAATGCAGCATTTTGTATTCCAGAAAGTCTGTCCACTCCGATTTTCTATAGAAGTTTACCTGAGGCACAGCGACTTTTGTTTTTAAAAAACTGCACAAGTGAGAAACAATAAAGCAAAAATGGAACCACACCATAAAAGTGGTCCTCTTCAAGTAGCTGCTGTACTGCCACTTTACAGATAACCAGGTAACAGGTTCTGAGATTATGAGTAAATGGGGTATAAAAACTATTTAAAAAACCCCTATAACTGGGACTATGGAATCAAAGTCAAAAAGGTTTGGACTGAATCTTTGTGTCATTCTCAGGACCTGTTCAACTACAGTCCTTAAGGCAGATGGGCTTTTCTGAAAACCTTCTGCTTTTGCATTTGGAACAATGCCTGAAGGGGAGAATTCCATGGCGGTGTGATCAAATCACAGAGCTGGGTGTATATGAAAATAAGAGAGTAGAGGGCAATATTATTACATTCCAACAAAATAAAAATTATTTTTAACTAGTTAATTCAGCTAGAAAAAGTAGGACAATTAAGAGATTGCACTTATAATAGAGGTTGCAAATTTACACTACAATATTGTACAAATGCTTTAAAACAGGCTTTGTAAATTAAAGAAACCATCAAATTAGAGGGTGCCCCCACCTGCCCTGAAAGCAACTTAGCCGATATGGACTTAAACATTTTGCAAGCTGTAATAAATACAGGCTTCTCGTTTAGCAAAGGCAATGGAGTATGTCTGTGTGCATCTGTGGGAGGGGGTGACAAGGAAGCCAAAGTGAATAAAAAAACAGTTTACCCATAAACTGGTCTGTATTAACGTACAGTCACCTTTTTCTTCCTTTTTCTTTTCACATTTTCTTAAGTTTTCAAGCAGGGTTTCTCACTATTATGGTAGACACTAACCCGGGACGAGGACATAAGTACAAACCTGCATTTAATCTACATTGCAAACCCAATGTGTCTCAGAGAGAAACAGTGGGGAAGCACTGGAAGGTGAACAACCACAGTGGCAACCACAAAAAGCATCAGAGTTGAAGGGACCTCCTAGGTCTTAAGTTTCTTCGGCTTTTAACCATAAACTAGTCCGAACAGCTTGGTTGCAAAAACTGGTATCCATGGCTGCACAGAGCCACCCATGAACGCTTGCATGTCTCCAGTCTAGGCAGAACATAGTCTCTTGAAAAATGTTGAAGCCAATTTGAAAGGTAGCCAGGGAAGGCTTCAAATAATCAAAAACATCAAGGGAACAGTGAGAGTGAGTGAGAAGGAGGGAAGAAGAAGAGACTGAGAGTAGCAGGAAGGAGGAATACAGACACAAACACAATGTCCTGGGGAATGGTAATGAGGAAATACAGGAAAGAGAATCTATACTAATTCTTCTACAGAGGAAGAAGAATAGCATCATAAACAAGTGAGATTTATTATCTCTTTTATAACTTGGTATGACATTAGCCCACTGTTCAGATAATTTTCAGAACATGTTAATAATACCAGCTTGTGACAAATATTAAACGTGTGTATTCACAGCCATAGCTCTGGTTTCAACAGATACTACAATCCAAGCAGTGATGAATCTTCCCTTGTACTTTATCCTGACAGCTACAACATAGGCAAGGAATAATTTTGAAGCTGAATGCATAAAGCTCATATCCCGGTCACATACACATATTAAAATTCTGCTGAAAGCCTGCAGTTTACAATCAAACTGCAGTTCTGGTAACTTTCTTCTAAACCACATTTTTACACAGTTTACAAAAAATGATTTATTAGTCTTCACTACATCTTCTACCTCAGCTACATTATGCTGTCGTGAGCAGTTTTTCATGACGAATACATGGGGGCACAGGTGTGATAAAATCACTGTAAATATTGTCCAAACAGCAAATATATGGAAAATGTTATGAAACACAATTCAATTAGCAAAAGTGGAATTTTGCTAAAATGCTATGGCCAGAGACTTGACTTAGCTAAAATATTTTTTTTTTTTTTGTGGTACACATGCTGAGATTATGTCACCCAGAATGTATAGACTTTAAAAAAAAAAACAAAGCAAAAACCAAACCAATCCAGCTCTGTAGATGTTCTTTTTGTCATATAAGAATATTGATATTTACAACTTAGACTGACTCTGGAGAATTCATCAGCAAAGGGAATACACACCTGATCATCTTGGTTTGTATGTCTAACAAGATACCGCAGAAAATCAAATCTGGAGCATTTACGAACGAGAATGAGGTCGGCTGAACCATCTGCCAAATGAGCTGCTGGTGAAAGACCTTTTGGAGTTCGTGGACAGGCACAGCTCATATTTACTGCATTGATGGCTAGAAATTTCCCTTTAATAACCTTCCATTCTTCATCTTCTGAAACACATCAATAAAGGCATGCAGATAGGTTATTATTTGATCTACTCACAAGAACACTAAAAAGCAATCATTCTTGGCAACTTAAAAGTTTTTACTGGGCATATTCATGCACTGTCAATACACAACTAAAATAAATGGCATTTAAAAAAAAAAAAACATCTCTTTTTCATATACTAACAGAGAAAGTTGCTTTCTTCCTTCACAGGCTGCGATTATGTACTGAAACTGCTCACCATGTCCAACATATGCATGTCAAACTCAGGATCAATGTTATTTGGGTAAACCCACAAAGCCTTAGGCAGGGACAAGACAGAGGCAAATTACAACTCTTGTAGTGTGAAAGTTCAGGGGGATTTTTAACTTTTTACAAATTTTATTCTTGGTCTTCAACATGTTAATCTTTAATAAACAATGATGCAACGACAGCGGTTTAGTATTTGGTTTCCAAATCAATATTTCTTTTCTGCCTCAATGCCACAAATTATATTAAAAAAAAAAAAAAAAAAAAAAAAAAAAGAGAAGACAAGAAGAGATGACTCAGGGATCAGCAAGGACCAGCAGGCAGCAGATCAGGAATCTGTTTCCACCCCACCCCCGATGTCTGAAGATGAGTACTATTAACAGAATTGAACTTTCCTGTGTACAAATCTTCAGAGATTTCTGGAAAACATTACAAAAGTCTGTTTTCAACAACATGAAACCTTTCTGTTAGAGATTAGACCTAGACTGAGCTTAAACGTGTGATGGCATCAATACTACCAAGAGCAGAGGAATTTTCTGGAACAAAGAAACACCAGCAGGCACTGCATAGAGTTGTCACCTAAACTGGATCTTCCTGAATATGGATAAAATAGATTAAAAATGCCTTTGCATTTTTAAACATAATTGCCTTCTTCACTACAATAAGAGAAAGCCATAAAGCATAACACTCCTTTTCTCCTCCCAGTTTAAGTGGACTTGGATATTTCAGATTAACAACTCCACAGAAATAATGATTGCAGAATAATCTATGGAGATACACATGGTTCTAAGACTGGAGTTCAGGAGTGAAGTGCCACTGTTGATGATGGGGGGAAATTAAGGAATAAACAAAAAATAAAGTTTGTTTATATAAGCTTGTTAAAATTTGATCATCAAACTACAGCAAGGTAGATGTTTTGAGGCATATTAACTGGTACAGACTTAGAAATCTAACATTATTCAGTTCCCCACATTTGGGTTAACTTAGTTATTTTCAAGGTGCTGCTTTGATGGGACTACAGATGACAATTATGCTATATATTTCACATCCTGATATTCTGATATTCTTTACTGTCTTTAGTTTTAGGAGCTTGACATTTACATTACAGAACCATTATTACAATTGTCTAGGTAATTTTGGACCTAAAGTCTACAATGAGTTCATTTTGAGTTGACCTCTTCCAAGCTTTATGTATCAGAAAATAAAGAAAAAATAGTAATTAAAAAAAGTTTGGAAAGTTTTTTGTAGTTTTTATTTGCTCTTTGAACTCTTCTCACTTCCTTGAATTCTTATTCATTGGAACTTCTTACCATCCACTCTAGTAACAGAATCAAGAAAAACAGAATTCCAGGAAAAATAGAGTAGGATTATAATGTGACAAAAGACTTAGAGGAAACTAAAAACTTTATTCTTTTTCTGTCTAGACTATCCTCTCTATCTCCTGATAATCATGAAATAAACAAGAAACACAGCTCTTAAATTCAACATTTTTGCATCATTTGCTAGACAGTTTTAGTATTGCTTGCTTTACTGCTCATCTTTTTATGTTGCTTTCAAACAGGACATTACAGAAAGAAATATTTAAATCAGATTCAAAATGTGTACCTTAAGAGAGATGAGAAAGACTTAAATGTCCAACTATACAGAATTACTCTGTTCAGGCTGTGGGCAAATGATGAGGCCCTGCTCTGGGATGGAGGTAACTGAACAGAACATAAGAAACTACTGGAACTGGAAACATCTGTGTGCAAATCTATACAGGTGCTTGTTTACAAGAAAACCAGGCATTTTCTGATATACAAACAACAAAATGAAAACAACACCCTTTACTGACAAATGCTTTTGTTGTTTATCTGAGAAGCATTAATAACTTAGTCTATAGTGTCTAGATCTGTGTTAACTTTTGAAGTATGCTCACTGTAGTGAGTTGCAAATTATTTACAGCAGAATGCTCACGTATGTAACTGTAACAGACTGTTTGCACCTGGTGGAAAAGTACCGGTCAGTATTAATTTCAGCATGTTACTCAAAAAAAGCTTCACTGTTCAAGTAAGAACAAAGTCAGGGTATTTATCACATTTTAAATGACCAACTCTTTTCATAACCTTTCTGCAAGGTGCATCACTGTGATAGCACAAATTATTTGCCCAAAATTTCTTTCATACAGTAGAGCAATCATAAGCAGGGAGAGCATAAACAGCACTCATTTCAGCTGTCTATTGTGTATATATACTGCAAGTTGCTGAAATCAGCATATACTACCAGCACTCCAAGTTTATTCAGCACATGCACAGACCTCTGCATAATACAAATATGTTTGGTGACAGTCAATGCAAGCATCCTTCTAAACTTACCCGAATTGTACACAAACCAAATAGGCACAATGAATGAGGCAGCCAATACACTCTGCTGAGTAAAAAGCTTACCTGAGGTGGCGATTTAAAAACCCTTTTTATTGCAAATCAAGAGTACCTGATTGTTATTGTTTGCTTATCAGTACTGCATGGAGAAGGGACTGGACTGCAAAGAAAGCCAGCTACCAGAAGTAAAATGGATTTAAGTAAACAATCTCCTACATAATCAGCTGCTTAATGTCTTGTGCAATGCTGGCTAAAGCAGTCTTCATCGCTCACTAACCTGTAACTTTCTTATGCCTTTGCTGGATCAAAGCTAACAAAATGGCAGATTTAAAAAAAAAAACCAAAACAACCCCCCCACACACCAAAACCCCCACCTAAACACACAAAAAACCCCCACAAATAATACCAAACAACCCACACACAAACAAAAGAAAAAAGGTTGGCAATTTCTAGCTACAGTTAATTCTCAAAAAGACAGATTTTTTTGTTACCAAAAAACCTACTACCAGATTTAGCTTCTAGGAAAATATTATATAAAGCAATTTCTTTAGCTGAACCTGGGCATAAATTAAAACAACTCAAGAAATACTCCAGTCTGGCCATCCGCTGACTATATCAAAGATCTGAAAGCATTAGCTGGGATGAAAGCACTATATATAAGCATGGGCAACAGGAATTCAAGTTGGCATGGAAATCTATCTACAGTCTTTATGGTACCAATGAATCTCTATTGTATGATGATACTCTTTTTGCTAACAAATGGCTAGAACCTGGCACAGATATTGTGCAAAATAACTGTAATTATAAGCTAATCTAGGTAATAAGGACCAATGTTTGTGTCAAGAAAATTACAGTTTTATGCACTGGGCTCTATGAGAAAGAAAAAAAAAAAAAAAAGAAAAAAAAAAAGATTAAAAGCAAAAGCAAGCACCCATGGGAAGGCTGCCTGCTGTTTAGGAGCAGTTTATCCAAGATGATGAACTGAGACCAGAGGCAAAACTTGGCCAACTGAATCTGTATATCTTACTCCAGCAAGGCCACAAGTGTATCAGTATCAGCACTTCCTGTTAGGATGCACTAGTCAGACATAAAGAGATACAGCTAGGAGGATGACTGCACAGAATCCAGTATACTAACAGTTGTTTTAACAAAAGGAGAAGTTATGCCCACAAAAAAAAATAATAAAAAAATCCAAGGAAGTGTGCACAGGGCTTGGAATGGGGGGTGGAGGTGGGGAGAGAATAAGGATAGCATAACTTGAGAAGGAGGTGAAGAGTCTCATTTATCATCTATACCGAGTATCAGTGGGGTATTGTACAGCAATACTTAAGTCCACTAGATCAGTTATTAGTTGTCCAAGTTCACTACTTCATATTAATAAAAAGCTTTACATAGGGTGACTTTTGTGCTAACAAACACAAATTTTTAATCCTGCTCTATTCTAAAAGTTATCTTAATGAACTGCTTCCTTCTATACTACCTCACACTTTATCAGTTATGTCCTTCTCACAAAGAATGCAGTCCTAGCTCACAGAATATATGTGTCTTAAAAAAAAAAAATAAACCCAACACAATAAAATATACAAGTAATTAATAGAATTTTCTCAGAATTTTCTGAGGTTTGGGTGAAGGAGACACCTTAAATATTTTTCACATATTTACAAGTTTTTTCCTTAATTTAAAGAAACAATAGATTATCTAGCAATTCACAATGTTTAAAAACCAAAACACACACACTTGAACTGACATATTTAGAATAGTATTTTGCATAATACTACACCATCTTTGTTTTTATGACAAATTACCTTCATGTTTTAATCCACATTCCTTGTGCTGTTCTGCCAGCTGTTGCTCACTTTTCTTGCAAATGTAACATCTGAAAACAAAGATACCAGTCAGTTCCTGAAAACAAAACTATTATTCAGTTTAACTTTCTTGTTTTACCCAATCATTACAGGACCGTGGCATGAATCATGACAGCCCTGCAGGCAGTATAGGTACTTAAGCGCAGTGCTGAAGATTACTGGATGTCAGAAATAACAGCATTATAGAGCCATATGATCACATAGGTTGGAAGAGACCTCTGATGTGGTCCAAACCTCTGCTCAAAGCAGGTCTTAGAGGATCAGGGTGTTCAGTGTCTTGTTCAGTCAAGTTTTGAATATCTGCAAGGGTAGAGTCCACAAGACCTCTGGGCAACCTGTTCCAATATTTGACTGTTATAACAGTGAAAGACAATGACATACTGGAGCCAGTCCATCTCACAAGTGCTGAGTACTGGGAAAGAACCACTTATCCTGATCTGTTGATTTCTCTCTTGCTTAGAAAGCCCAATATGCAATTGTCCCTCGTTGCTGCAAGGACACACTGCTGACTCAGGTACAACTGTTGTTCACCAGGATCCTGAAGTCCTTTTTGGCAGAGCTGCCTTCCAGACAGTCAATGCCCAGTCAGTACTGCTGCATGGGACTATTCCACCCCAGATACACAATGTTTGCCTCTCCTGAACTTCAGGAGGTTCCTATCAGTGTTTTCTTCAGCCCACCAAGGTCCCTCTGAATAGCAGCCCTGACTTTCAACATGTAAACCAGTCCTCCCAATCTGGTACCATCTATAAAACTACTGAGAGTGCACTCTCTGCCATGGTCCAAGTCATTAATAAAGATGTTGCACAGTATTAGCCCTGGTATTGATGCCCAAGGGGCACCGTTAGCAAGTGGCTGCCAGTTGGACTTGGTACTCACAACCTTTCTAGGTAGTCTAGACAGTTTTCTACCCACCCACTTATCTAGTCCACACGTCATCAATTTGGTTTTAAGACTACTACAGGAAACAGTACCAAATGCCTTGCTAAAGTCAAGGTATGTAACACCCACTTATCCACGGGCTTGGGGACCTGGAAGGCCTGGGGCAGACTACATCAGTGGAAGCTGGGGCAAAGGAGTAATTTTCCAGCTTTTTCCATATCTTTTATCCCTAGGTTCCCCATACCACTAAGCAGAAGGTCCACAATTCCTTTAACCTTTTGTTATGATTGGTATACTTGTATAATCCCTTCATAAGAAGTAACACCCTTCATGTCCCTCACTGATTTCAACTCCACCTGAGCTCTGGGTTTCTCAGTTCCATCCCTGCATGTTTAGGCAATGTTTCTGTGGTCTTCCGAAGTAACCCATTCCACTTCCACCTTCATTTTACTTCTCAGATCCTTGCTTATCCATGCTGGTTTTCTATCACGCTTACTCAAGTTTCTGTGTATCAGAATGGACTCTTCTTGTGCTTTGAGGAGGTACCAGCCAACTCTCCTGGGCCTCTCTATCCTCCAGGGCAGTCTCCCACGGAATCTTGCAAGATTCCTGAATAAACCAAAATCTGTTCTCCTAAAGTTCAGGGTTGCAATTTTACTTTTTGTCTTCCTTAGTTCTCTCAGGATTTTAAACTCTATAATTTCACAGTCACCACTGCCAAGACTGCCCTCAACCATCACATCCCCCACTTTCCTTTTCTGTAACAAGACCAGCAGAGCATTTCTCCTAGTAAGCTTGTCAATCATCTGCATGATCACTGTCATTCAGGATTCTCCTGAATTGCTTGTGCCCAGCCCTAATGCCCTTCCAGCAATTACCTGGATGTATAAAATCAGCCGTGAGGCATCAGGCACTCTTTACTCCCTGACTGAGACCTGGACAACAGCTTTCTCCCTTTGGAGCTTCTCCTGCATCAAGGCACCTGATGGATCAGGATAGCTGCTCCAGCTAATACTGCAGACTGAGCTGTAGCATGTCACAGCACAGTCTCAACAAGTTCCATGTAGTTTCTGGCCAAAGTTTATGGCTCCTCCGTATCCTGCTGTGCTGTTTGCTGCTGCGACAACTACCGTATCTCTGATAGCTACATTCATATATGAAGAAGAATAATAAATACTAGGGTGTAACTTCAAAGCAAAGAGAAAGGAAGGAACACTGGGAGACTAAGGTAAGCCCCCTGAATGGAGAAACAAGTGAAGAATATCACACAGAATTTATACAGCATAGTAACAGCCTATAAAAAAAAAGGCTAAGTAGGGTGATTCCTGAGAGGACCTATCCTTACGACAAGCCATGCCAGCAGTTGTCATGGCACTAAAACAATCACTACAATTGCTAGCTCCAGTTATAATGTGAACATTTGAGAATTTTTGAATAGTTATTTCCATTTGTAGAAGCTATGAGGCATCCAGACTTTTCATTTATTAGCAGTAACACAGCATAGTACCCTCAGCATCTTGTAACTGGGTATCGTGCCTGTTATACTTTGTTTCATTTAAAATTGGGAGAGTGGGGGACAAGCTAACAAAATTTTATCACACTTTTGTTTACTGACCTGATAAAATGAGGTTTCTTTTTAATGAGTCAATAAACTTTTTTAAAAGCTCGTCTCTTTCAGCATAAGTGCTTTGACATTAAAAACAACATTTCTGTGACTTCTGTTTATGTATAGGACTTTTCAAATAGTTCATGTCAAATATCCCGAGATAAATATTAGCCTACCCTGTTCTGCAGCTTTCTTTATCTCGCGGAGATCCCAATGTGTGTTTTGCTGGTTGAAAAGAAATTGTTCCTTCATAGTAATGATGAGAAAGAAAAGTCTTGAAGCCTACATAAAAAAAGGTATTAAGCAGCACTGTCATTAATAAATCCACACTATGAACACCTCTGCATACATCCCTTGATTGTTCCTTCTCTGAGGACTTCAAACCAATAGTCGCTCTCCTCAAGCTCTTTGTGTCATGATGTTTTAAACTGTAAAGGACAAGGAAATAACCCCCCCAACTTCTTAACATTTACCAGTAATGCCGTTACTTTGCTTGACATCTTTAAAAGCCAACTAAATATTTTAGCTGTACATCACCGCTGAATCTTAAATGAGCCTACACCGCTCAAATTCTGCTTATGTATCTTCTTGCCCTAACACAAAACAAATCAAAGGAGGCAAAAAAAATACCTTCTAGTAGCATAGATTTGTCCAAATATTAGTGTCCTGGTTTCAGCTGGGATAGAGTTAATTTTGTTTCTAGCAGCTGGCATAGTGCTGTGTTTTGGATTTAGTATGAGAAGATGTTGATAACTCACTGATGCTTTAGTTGTTGCTGAGCAGTGCTTACACCAGTCGAGGGTTTTTCAGCTTCCCATGCTCTGCCAGGGGCACAAGAAGCTGGGAGGGGGCACAGCCGGGACAGCTGACCCCAACTGGCCAAAGGG